ACATGCATGTCATCATTATATATCGGCAACATATTTGGCACACAACATTACCGCCTGAAATAAACTGTGCTGCTCATTCATTTCCACCACTCCCATACATGAATATTCATCAGATTTGCACTCGTTAGAGGGGCAAAAAGGTATTTTTTGCTGGTTTGCATGACACAATTTTTTATGGAACAACGTTGAGCGAACAACTTTGAAGAGGAAGTTCACAACCAAATATATATGTAGTCGGCCAACCTTGAATCGCCTGACCAACTGTACTACACACTGTGAGATCCCTGAGGGGACCGGGACTTTCCATTCCAAACCGAGGGATGGGAGGATAAAAAGAGGCACATCAAAACCACATTCAAAGCCCCAAATCACAATGTGAATCGACTTGTTTTTAAATTGATCACAATAAACATGTAGTATATATATAGTATATTGTTGCTTCGTCTGAAACGTTTTTTATTTACGCTTCAGATCGGAATAGGTAACCTGTTGATAAAATCACACCCCTCTAAACCATGCTATCCTATTTGCGAGGAATATCATAATGGCAAGCTCTAGAAATGGAATTTTCATTGAGCAAGCTTGTATGGTCCGTATTTGCGGCAACTTGTGTCAACGAATTCGATTGAGAGGGATGGCTGACGCTTTAAGCTTGGGGCAGGATATATCAATGAACATTGTAGTCCGGTCAATTTGGAACAAAACAGGGCCTGACCTAGAAGAAATTGCAATATAGTTCATGTTTATGCTATCACGCTAAGGAAATATCACCATTTAAAATAGTACAAATCTCATTTCATCAAAGGAGTGGAAAAGTGTTTTTATTCGCTTTTTCTCTACCAATTTTGCATCATACGTAAACAGTCGTATGGAGTGCGTCATGTTTTCTTTTGCGTCCGTTTAATACTCATACGTATGAGACTTTGCGAGACACGACTGATCACAACAAACGACTTTTGTCCATCAATTATTAAAATTTATGGTAATTTACACACTGCCGCACAATATTATAGGATATTTTCATGAAAAAAAAATCAAGAAATTTGAGATTTGTTTTGCTGCCCGAATTATTTATTGGTTAAAACAAATTATTTTGTGCCCAATAAACCATGTGTTTCATGGAAAATCTTTGCATAAACAAATCTACTTAAAACATGGGCGGAAAAGGATATTCACAAATTAAGTTTCATTTCAGGTGTTTCCGGCAATAGGCCGGAGTCCAATTTTTAATATTAGAGAAAATATCCGAAATCCGGGATTCGTGTATTCCGTTTGTGATGAATTTAGGTCATTAGCAACTTCTAAATAACATATAAATTGTCAAAAAAAATAAAATGTATACTCAAATAACCTTAATGATAACAACTTATCGGGATTAAAATCTTGCAGTGAAATTTTAGCTGAATTCTGGTTTTTAGAGAAAAGAAATTAGGCAGTGTGACAAGTGTATTACCTGTACAAATAATACACGTGCCCCCAGATCAAAGCCTTGGGAGGGGGGGTTGACGATGCCAATGAGATTTTTTTTTAAAGTAATAACAACGCGAGGTCTGTTCCATCCAAGAATCAGTTTTGTTTTTCGGGACGCAAGCATGCTTTTCGGGAGTAGTGCATTTCACTCTTGACTGTACAACCAAATGTGACAATCAATTTTCATACCTCGATCAGAATCTTCTTAATTTAGCTGGTTTAAGTTACTGTACCGTACTTATGGAAAATGTGTGACGCCATGCAAAGCTCATGTACAAAACTACATCTGTTTCTCATCAACCTCGTAGACATTTTGTCTTTGTGATCAAAGTGTCTTGAGATGTTCTGTTTCATTGTTCATGCACTAACAAAATGTATTGTAAGCATCACAACCTGAGCTCAGTATTTCCTGAATTTTCTTAACCAAATCCAACACATCATTTCAATAATCTTTAAATAAAGATTTTTTTCCTTAAGTTCTTTCAAAACGGTCCACGCACTCATGTCCAACCGTTTTCCATCCGTGTATGATCAAAATGATGTTTTAGACACATTCAACCCTTTTTGCACATAATCGTATCTCGTCTGTGGACTTATTGCGCACTTTAGGCGGAAAATCCTCCACTCTATCCGTGAGTGCCTTGTATAAAATATGACTTGAAACAGTCGTCTGCTGCACTCTTATATGGTCATGAATCCTGAACGTTAAGTTATATAGACATGTAAATCGAAGCAAGTCACCAGACGGATTGTTCGAGGAAATGTCCCAAATGTTAACCTTAAAATATGCTTGAAAAAAAAACACCCTTCCTTCCCATAGAAACAACTAGATGTTTCACATATTGTTTGTGTAAAGGCCTATATTTGAAGTCGTTTGACGCTTGAGTGGTTTCCTGTTGCAATTTGTTCTAGGTCTTAACCCTAAAGGGGCCGGGGGCGGAATCCGCCCCCCTCAACATTTTCCGCGATAGCCTCTAATTTTTTTTTTTTTTGCAACCCGAGCTGTTATGACTTTTTAGCCTTGAGCTTTCCGCATCTTTTGATACCAAAAACATAAAAATCAGACCACAGGTTGCTGCGAAGCGAAATTTTTTTCGCTATACGTCTTGTACACAGAGCAAAATTGTTATTCGTACATATGAATGATTAATTAGCCATGATTCCAAAACCCTTTGACCTATAGTCATGAAATTTCTTGGATATGTTTAGAAAAAGTTGCTCTATGCATGTTCTGAGTTTCAAACATTTTCGTCACTCGGTGGCTGAGATCTTAGGGGGGGGGAATCCGCCCCCCCCCATCCCCGGCTGAGAGATGGTCAAATAACCCGGCCCCTTTAGGGTTAACTTAAAAATTGACCGGATTACTATGGGTCAGCCATTATAAGGGACGGGCTACGGAATGTATCTAGATTGGAATTTTGGTTGTACGGGCTTACACTTTTTAATTAAAGAGTGACTGGTTTTATGCATGAAGTTAACACAATGGATTTATGCCTGTTTTTAAGTACTCAGTTAATTGAAAGGTTGCTAAATTCGAACGAAGTTCAACCGTTAATGTCCTTGCCCTTTAACCGTATTTTCCTGGGGAAAACTGTGGTTACAAAATACACGCAATTCGTATCATATCAGCATTACATGTGAGTCACCCAATAAACCAAAAAATGAAACCATGGTTAAAAGAACAAACATATTGGTTAAAGACGATATCAATTATATGAATAACAAAGACTGCAACAAGAAAGGGATATGAAATATAATTAAAGGAAAATCCTGTGTCAGTTGTTGGCATTACACGTAAGATACATTTATTGTTTTTGTAATTCAAGCAAATTAATTATTGGTGTTGAAAAGGTAAGTCACTTCTTAAATTCGCTCATTTAAACTTCGCTGTGTATCACGTAAAGAAAACACCACAACAAACAGGTATCAACTATTAACGTCGTTTACAAGCAATTATACCTACTTTTAAGCAAGGGCGGATCGGGGAGGGGGCCCAAAAAAAAAAAAGTTTGGTTGGACAAATATTAACCACTTGTTTTTTTTTTTCAACCAATGATTGGTTACGTTAACCAACCTGTTTTAAGAGTGTAGCTTTATGCCAGGGATCCAATGAACAATGGTTAAGTTAAGCCATGATTCAGCCATTAAAGGGAGCAAAGGGACGGGCTGCGATTTAAACCTTCGCATTTTTCAAACTTTGAGTAAAAGTTGTAGGGTTAAACTAATAATAGCTAGGTGACGTGAAGTAGTTCACCTGAAAGTCGCTGATTAACACAAAGAAAGAATGAAAAGATATCAGTTATTGTAATGTTGTATACAGGTAATCGATAAAAGGCCTCTTGTTCACCCGATGTTTTAAAGGTAACCAGGTTAGAGGGATGTAATTATTATCATCAGGTTTACCTAAATCTGATCTGAGCAGTAAAACTGTTGTCAGGCGTAGCAAATATAGACTTTGTCAACAATTGTAGGCTTAATGTGATTTTCTTTTAGGGAATGGGATCCCCGCCCCTTCGGTACTATAATCCAGCTAGCTTATCACCCCTCATCTCGGAATGGAAAGCCCCACCAAGGGATCTCACAGTTGTTTCTGATTGACCAGGTGATGTACAGTTAGGTGACAACACACATACATGAAGTGCACAAATTGGTTGAACAGTTTTCGTGGACCTATTTCTGTACTGACCTTTCTTTTCTCAGATGACGGGTACTCCACTTTAAGCTTATAGTCAACTCAGTAGCATCACTTAATTTTAACAGTCACTTTTCCCCGTGTGTTTCTGTAAATACTATCACATTGAATTGAAGTCACAATAACTATAAGTGCAATTCACCCCACCCCCTCCCCAATAGGGTTTGAGCCCGTCCCTTTACACCCAACAATTACTGAACCAAGGCTGAACTTACACATTGTTTATTGGTAGATCCCTGGCATGGCCTATAGTAACATGCAGTTCTCGAAACCGAAATACGTAAATACATATAGTGTTGAATACAATGTTCGCAATACTGATAGGTTTAATGAAGAACTGTAGGTTTCATAAACCTTTCTCGCCAAAAATGTATATTTTTGCTGACGCAAAGTGCGAACCCTATGTGAGTCGGTATCCAGAAAGGATAATGAAGTTTTTGATGGATTTCATTTTCATATCGTCGGGCTTCCCAATCTAATCTGAAGCTTTAAAACTGGTCTCAGACGTATAGCCAAAGTATACTATATTATACTAACCACGGGTTAAATGCAGTTGATGGCCATTGTGATTTGGGGTTTTGGTTAGTGCTTTGATACACCTCTTTTTTTAGGTCACATCCCTCGGTTTGGAATGGAAAGTCCATTCCAGGGATCTCAATATTCGAGTTGAATGGATAACCATGGTTAGCTGACCATCAATAGATTGTTGCCCTCTTTGGTTTGGCCTTCCTCATAGAAGTTCTTTGTTCAGTGTCTTTTCATTTGATGGCCTTCCGAACTTCATTAGACTTTCATTGAGGCGTCGTTTAGCGGCGAATATCAGACGTGTGTGCCAGAATCTGATCAGTAGATGGTTTGCACGAACAGCTTTCTAGCTTGACTGGGTATACATGCTTCACTTTTCCTGAACGCTGTGTCGAGTAGTAAAATCGTATCTTCGTCAGATAAAATGGCGAGTTGGATTTCAGAGAATTCGTCCACTCGTGCCTACATTCGTGTGCATCGGATACACATGATTCGGGTTGTTATATTGATGGCCGTTTTGCTAGTCCTTGGTGGAGCAAGTGGTAAGTACTAAAACAACGTTTGTTTCATTCACATTGTTTTTCCTTAATGACCCGTAGAACGTTGTTATGCTATTAATTAAGCACGCCAAATTTTAAGAAGCATGTCCAAACGTTTAATTATGTTAGGTTTCGTTCAATTTGACATTTTAATGCAATGCAGTTTTAACAAAAACAAGTGCAGATTAGGAGCATATATTTTTTTATGAAGCAGTTGCTGATGACCTGCTTCATTCATTTGATGAACCAATGAAACCTAACGGGCTTCGGCGTAGACTCACTGTATTGCGCATTATCATGTCAGCTACCGCGCTTTGCATCAGGCTGAATGTAGCACCAGGCTGAATGTAGCACCGGGACGTACTGAATACAAGATCACCGTACATACAACGAAAAACAAAATCAGTAAACGGCTTGCCCATCCCCTTTTCATTTTATTAAATTTTTGTTAATCGAAAAAAAAAATGATGTTACTGTATTCTGCTGTGTACAGTGAACTCGCTACATCTGACAATGGTCACAAGCCCGTCATTTGTAATCAGTTCGGAGAGGTCACATGTGGAGATTTACGTCGCCTGTTACCGCAGTGGTCCCGACAAGGATGTTAGACTGAGCTATGGAAGGCTTCCCGTACACCTGCCAGGAGCTGGGATAGAGTCAATTACCTCCTTCCCAGATGGTACAATCAGTGCAGAATACGATGGACAAACATTCAAGCACTTGCCTATGAACGACAATTCAACAGGGTTATATTACTGCGAGGGATCAAAAGGAGACCAGACGACACGGGTGTACGGCAGTATCTTAAATGCACTTAGTGAGTTACTCCGAAGTTTTGAAGTGTTTAATATCATACTTTGCGCTACTGTTTCATTTAGTAACGGTTTCCTATTTGCTTCTAGATAGGAAAAGGAGTTGCGTATTTAAATTGTATTCAGGTTCGTCAATAAGGATCATTGACGTAGCCACAGAATTATTATTTTCAATGTTTCATTATTAGAATGAGTTGAAAAAAAAAAACCCTGAAATGAATGATGAATACGTGTTTGTCCTATGTTTGACAGATTTGCAAACTAAAACGTACAACCCTGGAATAAAAACAAGTGCGGTTAAATTCCCTTATTTGCACACTAGGCTGGTTTTACCAAGGCAGTTGGGAGGAATTAATGCTGACGAAGACAATCAACAAAGGAGAATATGCCACTCTGTTTGTGGAGAAGAGACGCTCCGGGAGTACCCGATATGCTTCATGGTATCGGATCAGTCATGGTGTTGCTACCAATTCAACTGAGTATTACGGACTAACTGCAGTCACGATACCTCCCAGCCAGGCCAAGCATGGAGACGTGTATGCTGTTGTGGATTCTACTGATTCACTTAGTGATAACAAGTTCACCTTGATAAGACTCATCGTAAGAGGTAAGCGACTCCCAAATGTGCAAGCAATAATTTGATTTTCATCATGGAGAGGGTCAGCGGCCGCGAGCGGCGGCGGAACGGGTTTGAAACTGGGGGGGGGGGCATCACCAAAAAGGGGCACTTGCAAACCCATGCTGGAATGTCGACACGTTTTTTCACCGGTCACTTGCCCTCCGTAAAATCAAATAGTGGGAGGGGGGGGGGGCTGGTACCATCTTCCAACATAGGGGACGCTCTTCAAAACCAATGATTATATGCTAAATATGCATTATGTGCCCTTTTTCAGGCCGTATTGTATGGGTTTTGGGACTTGATTTTCATATTCCTCGTTTATATCAAAAATATCTATACCATTATTGGGATATGGTCACTTCTAAGAAATAGTAAGATACTTTAAGGGCATTTTTGTTGTATCTTGAGGGGGCACTTTACTGTTCGAGGGGGCACATTTATGGCCACAAAAGGGGCACTTGGGAAAATCGGGGGGGGGGCAAACGCCCCCCTCCCAGCCCCCCGGTTCCGCCGCCCCTGGAGAGGGTTATTCGATAATAGGAACAAATCAGAAGACGTCTGTCGTTTCCAAGTGACAAACGTATTTATCAACATAATTGCCACCATTTCAAAATTGTTCCTGGGCCATAGGGATAAATAAAAATAACAACATGAATCAACTTTTCAAAATTGTTGTCCACTTTCGCCAAAAAAAGGTATGTGTTGTTTCTTTCCTCAGGCTGTGTTGCAGGCAAGTGGGGTCCTCCTGGCTGTGGTGGTGTCTGTGATCTGTGCTACAATGGAGGAGTGTGTGATGATAAGACAGGAGATTGCATCTGCCCACCAGGATTCATGGGACCAAACTGCCTCACAGGTAAGCTCACTGTTTGTTGGTGGAACTGTATGTCTGTTGGGCTAGGTGTGATCTGTGCTACAATGGAGGAGTGTGTGATGAAAAGACAGGAGATTCCATCTATTCACCAGGATTCAGTGGACCAAACTGCCTCATGGGTAAGCCTATTGCTTGGTAATTCTCTGTCTCTGTCTCGAATCTCGAGCTGTCTGTATTTATGTCCGTCAGTCTGGCTGGAGAGCTCTTCGGCTTGTCTGTCTGTCGACATTGGTATGAGATTTATAGGTACAATGACAAGAACTTGCAACTTCCCACCACGATTTATTACCAGTTCGTAATGTTGGTTGAAAACTATAACTTTCAATAATTTCCCCAAACTCTAATGCCGATAGCAAAGTCATTGATATGATGGAGAACGCAATCAATACAATCTGATCATAGCCTATACTACTAGACTCAGTTAGGGCAAGCCAGGTGTGTCTAGACTTAGTGTTTTCAAACTTGGTCGTTGTAACTATATTTAACATGTTGGCACGAATTTCAGTCATCTTTTTTACATTTGAGTCAAAATTGAGTCAATTTACAGAAATGGAGTCGAGTACCTGAATTAGTGGGACTGGGCTTGCTCAGTGCCTCGGTCGGAATCTGGTTTCGCGATTGATATGTGATTGATGTTTCTGATGTATACATTTTCTCAACAGTTTGCCCAATCGGCTCATTCGGCTGGGATTGCGAGTATAGATGTGTTAGTGATCAGCTTTTTAGTTGTTATGAGACTCAATTTGGTTTACCAGATCCCTTCGGAATCACCTGCATCAGCGGGTTGGGTGGCTCTTTATGCCATAATGGTACGTGTAACATTCATCAGTCTTTATTTGAAATAATTAGAGTAGGACATTTAATAAACAACGAGGTTTTTCATAAATCACTCTTGTGTCAAACGACTTTAAGTTGGAATGGAAACGCGTACTTCCTCTTTATTGTTTTGGAGAAGGTTGCTTTTTTTTTAGTTTGATTTGTGACTACCCAATAAGGCCGATCTCTATGATTTATCATTTCTCAGTTTAGCGTTTTACTTACTTCTCATTTGTTTGTCTGTGATTATTTTTTTTTTTATCTGCAACTGATCTATGTCCACCAAATCATCCCGATAAGGGTGTCCTTTTGGACGCTTTGGTGCTGGATGTCTTCAGCAATGTCACTGTCTTTATACCAGTGCTGGATGTGACCGATTTACTGCGGTGTGCGACTTCGGTGGCTGTGCGGAGGGCTGGTCTGGTACAAATTGTCAAAGTAAGTGTCGAAAGAGCCGTTGGATCACAGGAAAAAAATCATTCCTTTTCTTTAACCAGGTGTTCTTGGAACTTGCTGCTTGGTCTTGTTATTGCAAAAGAATTCCATGTATAACCATCGAAGTAATTGCATTGCGAAATAAATGGTTGATTTGATTGATAAATGCCATCATTCCCGGTTATACATGCAGTTCCAGACGTATGTCCCGTTGGTTACTATGGTCTGAACTGCGTGAGTAAGTGTCACTGTTACAACAATGCAGCCTGTGACAAGTACACTGGATACTGCAGTGTGGGATGCGCCCCAGGATTCACCTGTGTATCACGTAAGAAATAAATCTCTGTATTAGAATTTGAATAAGGAATTAAATGTGTGTTTGGGAGGTATTGTAACACTCTGTTTAAGACCGGTTTGTGTTTGGATGGGCGATAATTACCCGAGGCGAAGCCGAAGGTAATTATCGCCCATCCAGACTGTGTTTAATACAGACCGAACCAGTGTTTAATACAGACCGAACACACATTTATTCCCATTCATAAATACCTTTTCGGTCCAAAAATATGTCAAAAACTAGACGTTGCCCAACCATTTTGTTCAACAATTTTACATCATATTTTACGAAGCACCCCTCTGACTATAATATGGAATGCCCCTCCACAACTCGTTATAGGGACATTGGCGTGCGCGTCGCGCGTACTGTGCGATGTCGTGCAAAACGCAGCTGGGCTGGTGAAGTGTGAAACTGGAAAAGCGTTATAAGACCAGCTAGCCATGTCTTTATCATCCATTTAAGACCGGCCACGTGACGGGCTCTTGACCAATAGGAATGCGTAAACTGTCTTAGGTATTTATAAATGATGGTTACTACTGCTATTTTACGATAATCACAAGCACACGTGGTGCGCATTGAGAGCAATATATCTTTTGGTTCCGCAGGGCAATGTGAGCCAGGTTACTTTGGTGAAGACTGCAGTCAGGGATGCCGCTGTCTGTATGATAGAAGATGTGATGGTATCACTGGTTACCGTCCAAGCGTGAACTGTCTTCAACAGTTTCAGACGGATGGGACTGGAACATGTCAGTTTGGTAAGTATACTTGACCACCATGATCAAAACTACCCCCCTACACTATCTTTATGTCAGACGAGTTTTAAGCACAGTGATTTGACACAAGGGCGGATCCAGAACACAATTTTTGATCCCCCCAAAAAGTGGGTCAAAAAAATTACAGCGTGGGGTTCGGGGCCCGCTTAAGTGCCCCGAAAAGTTGGTGGATTCTAGATGCACTGTGGTGCGATCTGAGGCAATTTCTGACCACTTTAACCAATGTTTTTTTGAGGAAAAGATGGTGGTGTACTCATTGCCTGCCTTTATTGCGATGTCACATAAAAAACAAAATATTGGTTTCGGGTTTTTTTTTTTTGGGGGGGGGGGGCATGGCCCCCTTTGCCCCCCCCCCCCCGGTTCCGCCCTTGATTTGACAGTCAACCATGCAGTGATACCTCCAAAACAAATCTCGTCATTGATTGACGCGTCTTTTCTTTTAGATTTTTAATTCCTTTTTTTGTTGTGGCATTTTCCCTATTGAGTTCTACCTGTTTTAAGCCAGCCTCCCGAGGTGATAGTACAATCAACATCGGCAATTGTCTTCTGGAAGGCGTGGGGCTCTCACCCCATGGATGCTGGAGATGGGCCTATCATCGGGTACACAATCTACCGCTCCAATCATTCAGCGACCACTAATTCCTGGATTCGAGCTGGCTACGTTTCGGCGTCGTACCAGCCCCCGATAGCCTTTAGCTTTGAGACTGATTCCTTGCAACAGTTGACAGTGTATAACTTCAGCGTGGCCGCGGTGCGTGAGGGGAAAGGAGGGGAAGGTTCACGGAGCCCTGAAACGACTATCGAGACGAAACCTATAGGTAGGGCTGGGATATTTCATTTCGATTTGCATAGGTCACGTCGTGTTATTAATGGAATCCCTGTCTGATCTATTTATTCATTCATTTATATTTCTTTACTCAGGGTATGTCAAACAAGTTCAAACTGGTTTCTATTGCGGCCCTGCATCCATTTGAAATGATTAAATAACAATAAGCAAACTAAAAAGTTCAGGTAAATTGCATTAGTGAAACATACCACAAACATTGATACTTACAACTACAGGTCAAGTACGTTAAGGACACAAAAAAAGTCTCCGGTTTCTGGTATGGAGCTGAAAAAATGTGGTGCGGCGACGCGGCATTTTTTTTTACCTGTTTTTTGGCTTCAAATGTCGGCTGATGACTGCAAATGGTGCCCGACTAAACCTAGTGCAAATATATGGGAGTCCGGAGAGGCCACATAAAGCTTATTCTCGATCATAACCCCATCTAAAAACACGTTAAAATTGTCCAGCAGCATTATTCCAGTCAAACCAGTGAGTTTGGCGGTTTTGAGACATCATCTTTTATTGAAAAAATACTGTTTCATTTAGCCGACGCGCATGGCTACGGCGACGCGCGCGCATACCAGAAACCGGAGATTTTTTTGGGGCCTACTCAAGTTAAATGAACGGTTTTTGGCCAGTTAAACAATCGAGGTGCGTGTGGGATGGGTGCATACATTTATTCACATGCAATAGTGGACCTCGAACACAACATGTTAAATAACGTTCACTATTTCGCGAAGGGCTCTTCTGGAAAGCGTGTATAAAAATTATGAGAGCCCTTCCCCCAAGAAAGTTTATAGTGTATGAACAAAATGAAGGACAATTATGAGGCCCACAATGGAACGTATTTACGCATAATTATGGGCGTGTGTTGGTGATAGTTATCCCTCATGTCTGAGGACTTCGGACAATATGTTACCTGCGATAAAAAATACCCCGATGGCCTGAACCAAGTCCTCGTAAAGTTTTCATGTGCAACCCTAATGGTACATGTGAACAAAAACCCGTTCACTTGGAATTCATTTTGTTAAAGCCAACCATGTGATGTGATTCATTAACAGCTATGGAATCCGTCGGTCCTGCAGCGACAACTGCTGGATCCAACGTTGGTCTGATTGCCGCTGTCTGTGTACTTTTTGCTCTTATTCTGATCGTGGTGGTCGTGGATTATCTGAGATTCCGAAGGCTAAGCAGACGCTGGCGTGCCAAGAATCAGCCCACAGAGGACGCCCTCAACATGGCAAGTGTGATGAACCATTCCTCTATATTTTTTCTCCATTTGGTGTTAAAACATGCAATGTTGGCGTTAAACTAGTGCACCAACTTGTATATGAGATGATTCAGTTAATTTGCCAACATTCCTCCTACTTTCTCGAAATCTGCTTTCTTTATGGGGTTCGTCTTGCTGACCGTTTGTGTGTTTTTTGCTAATTTCTAAATAGCCTTTGTTCGATGTTATTTATGGAATAACCCAGACGAGTAAAAAAAATGTGATAAGTCCATGGATAAGTCAAACCTGTTGGCATAAAAATCCAAGATTTTGTTTACAGGTGGTCTTTGACAATCCCGTGGCCAAAGAGGAAACATCAAGAATGTCAGAGCACGTGGAGGGCTGTGAAGACGTAGAAAACGCCAAGGATTGCAGCTTGGACTCTGCGTACAAGGATGTGGCTCAGCCTTGGACTGATTCCTTGACCATTCCGATTGACCGGTTGTCGATTGGTTACAAAGTGGTAGGCACCGGTCACTTCGGGGAGGTGCGTTTGACCACCTTGTGGTTAGAGGACGGACAGTCCAAAGCTGCCGTCAAGCAGCTGAAGTGTGAGTATTCCCAACAATTCGCTATCGAAAAACAAACATATGTCCGAACAAAAGTGCCGGTATCTCTTCCACGTTTTAATTGACGGACGAGAATATGCCATAAGGCCTTTTCGATGAAGAAATTAAAAACTGTTTGAATTGTTTCAGATGAGATGGCACGCTTGACTGTTTAATCTGTCATTGATTATAATTATTCTCTGTTCCACAGCGAACTCGTCTAAAAGTGACAGACGCAGATTCATGGAAGAATATTGAATTCTCAAGGCCGAAATTGGAGATCATCCGAACATCCTCAGCATCCTCGCAGTTTGCTCCTTTGAAGGTAATATGCCTTATTTTTTTCACCCTTTCGAAAAACGATTTTGGTTAGCCAAACGCTTTTTGGAAGAACTGATTCAAAACAGACGTAAAAAATGGATGTTAAATCAACGCAAATAATTTCTTAATCCCAACTCTCAGCAAATTTTAATTGTTTTTAATTGAACCCTAGGTGTTGTGTATGTGGCCCTGGAGTACCAGCCGAATGGTGACCTGCGTTCCTACCTGAGAAATGCACGATCCCCGGCGGACGATAGTCGTTCGTCCTTGTCGGCTGTGATACTGCTTCAGTTTGCTGTGGGCGTGGCCAAAGGAATGCAGCATGTTGCTGCATCTGGAGTAAGTTTCTGTTTAGGATTTAATACTTTCTTGACACAAGAAACAAATAAGAATGAAAATGTAGATATATTTCTTGACGCTTGAATAACACAATTTGTTTCGTTGTTAGGTAATCCATCGTAAGTTGTCGGCACGAAACATTCTTCTGGATAATAACCTGGTTGCCAAGGTATCCGGGTTCGGACAAGCAAGATGCACGGATGCCATAGTCGAGAAATCCAAGGTATACCCACTAGTGGTTGCATTTATTGATCTCAACACTTAATAGCAGGACCAGTTCGTATGCGATCATCTTTGACTTCCTGTTGAAACTCTTAACGCACAATTGCATCCATGTTACTATTCTCAATTTTAAACAGTTTTTGTAATATAAACCGATTAATGAAAATCACACTTTTTCAAAATCAAATCAAAACTGTCCTCAACTAACGTATGCTGCTTCTCCTCAAGGTGTCTCTTCCTCCACGCTGGCTGTCTTTGGAGTCACTGAAAACCAACACCTACACCTCAAAGAGCAACGTGTGAGTATATCATAGCCATCATGGTGATTAACAATGAACCATTCTGAATCGAATTTTGAATTGACCAGGCTGTTTTCTCCACCCAAACAACCCAGCAACATTATATTGATGCAGAGTAATAATTGATATGACTGTATTATAGCTGAAGTCGGATTGAAGTGTGCAAGTAAAGGCGCAAAATGAGTACAATAAGTAAAAACCACTATCTGATCATGACTTAATCAATTTTATTATCGTTATTAGATGGATCACCACGTCTTCACCCTAGAACAGACTACACTTTGTCGTCCGGTTTAAATTTCATCATGAAATTAGTTAAGATGTTTATTCTCGATTTCGTTTGACAGATAGTGGATGAATACAGTGTTTGAATATTTTTTTATTGAATGTGCCAAAAAATGTTAACTCTCTTTTTTTTCTCACATCGTGAACAAATGTCAGGTGGTCCTTTGGAATTCTCCTATGGGAAATCGCAAGTCTGGGTAAGTTGAGTTAATATTTTCTTTGACAGTAATAAAAAAGTATGAGATTTTAATGGTGTACCGGTGGTCCCACTCAGCCAGCAGATGCGTTTTGTAGTTGTGGAAATTTTGACAGAGTTTAGTTGTGAATAAAACGTACAGAAATACAACCAGAAAGACAAAGTTTACAGTGTGATCCTTGACTGCAGTTGTTGTGAGACGAATTTCGGAATCGGATTGTTACAGTGTCGTAAAATAATTTCAGTTGGAAGTGGTCGGCATTGATTTGTAGTTACTTGTTTCCTAAATCCATCGAAGTAGAACGCCAAACAAGGGGTCCCTTTACCAGGTATATGGTGCTTTGAAGTATCGTTATACCAGCTCCATAATTTTTTTTTTTTGGTGAACTGTTGCAGGCGCGACGCCATACTGTGGCATTAAATCTGCTAGCTTGGCGACAAGGTTCGAGAATGGATACCGCATGCCTAAGCCTACCAACTGTCATGACGAAATGTAAGAACTATCAATTATTAAACCAGGCATTTAAAAATATAATCATTGAATATGTGCAGTAAATGCAAATTGATATACCTCCAAAAACCGACCTTGTTAGCTTCAATCATTGTGGGTGATTTGTGTGTTTTATACAGCTACGAACTGATGCTGCAGTGTTGGCAGGAGGATCCCAATGACCGACCTCCATTCAAGAAACTGGCATTGGTCCTGAAAACGATGGATCACAGCCACAACAAGCAAGTGTGTATCAATTTGATACAAAATGCAAATAATCGACAAAGTAAACTTTATTCACCGTCAAAATGTTGATTCTCGTGGGTGATACTTGTTGGCGTAAAACAAAAATACTTATATGTTCAATTTACATTAATTAAATTGAACTTAAACATTTTGTTTTGCAGAGATACATGCAGATGCTTCCAATGTCTGAGTCCAAGCATTACTTGACCATCCAACCTGATCAGGATGACAACTAGGATAAAATCTGAAGACGAGGAGAGATGAAGAAATACGCTAACCATCAAAATTATGTTTGTTGGCAAGAATCGTATTTCACGGAAATATTGAGCACGCGTGAAGTTATTGTTCTCCCCATCATTAATGCAGATAATTAGACGCATCTTCATATGATGTGATATAACCTTTAGGTGGTGGATGTTAACATTTGGAGAAAATTAATATAAATCTGGTGTTAATTGCTGTATTTTATCATTAAAAATTCTTAAACTCATGTTGTTATGGTGTTTGTTGGTAAAAAACCACAAGTGCGTGTGGTCAGAACAAAATCTATTACAAAACGTATTCACTGGTCACATGTATATTTTTTGTATCATGTCAAAAGTAATATGTGTTGTTTTTTATCCACGGTTTTTAACGTAGGCCTAAAAAGTAGTTTATAAGCAATTGCTGTATTGAATCGGTGGTAGTGTTGCATGTTGACAATGCTTTGAGAAAGGTGTTCTTTTATGCGTTTTGTTTTCTTAAATTTGTAGGTGCATAGTCAAAAGTGTTTTAAACTAAAGACAATTTCAGGAATAGACTTACTTTGAAAATTGTTTCGCATTTCCCATATATTGACAACATCTAGACATTTGTAAAGTTTTCCAAATGATGAATTACACTGAACGCACAGTTTGACGGCACTGCCAAGCACGCGGTTATTATCACGGAAACCGAAGCACTAAGCAGTGAGCACAGCCAAAGCTTGCTTGACCCCCGAGGATAAAAAGTTGCTTAAGAAATCAGTGACGTAACACTAAAAATGTGCATGCACGCGCAACCATTGGCATATCTACAAAACGGTGCTTAAGGTGAACACAGTTTTCTGCTATAGGAAGCACTACTTTTCTGCTAACTGTTAAGCAGAGTATTAAGCCAGACGCAATGTAAAACTAACGCTTGTCAATGATATCATGTTAACCCTCCAATGCAAATAGAAATATCCCCAAAATAAATGAGGGACGCGTAGTGCAGTTTAGAGTAGATTTAAAAAAAAATACACATACGCCCTCGAGTTATTTACTGTCTAGACATAATAAACCAACTCGAGATCGGAACATCGTTGCTAATAAAAACCATTAGTATCATAAATATAAGTAATGTCATTTATCCAACATGCTTCACTCGGGCATAAATCCTGGGAGGATTGGCGGGGGGGGGGGGGGGGGGGGCTAATATCCCCAACATTTTAACCAGGAAGATTGGCCATTGAATCTCCGCCCCTCCCCTCGATTTTTGTGCCGAACCAAAACAAACAAACAAACGGTTGAAGCCTCTCAGTTTTATTCAACCAAAAACGTATTTTAAGGATTTTGAAAAAAAGGATCTTGGATAGTGTTGTATTGCAATCCGTTGCAGCATTAATTTCAGCAAATGCATTAAATCAACATTTTGGTAAGGTTATTCGAAAAAAAAATACTGCATTTTACTCAGTTTCCGAGCTCCCTGTGTATCTTTATAGAGAGATTGCTTGGGAGATCTCACGCCAAGTAAACATTAATTTAGGTTTTGCTCAAATCTCGGCTGTCCCATTTGGGCGCAGTGGCACGCCTGCCGTGCGAGAAAGCCAAACTCAAATGAATGCGTGCTTAATAGGTTACATTGCAAATAATTATAATTGACTAAACCATTGTGTTTTAATCGACCAATCGCAGTAATGCAACTCAACTTCCTCGTGTCATTTGCACAAATGACATTACTCGAGCACAGATACGAATTATCAAGCCTTCGTGATCTACGCATTTCGTAAACAGGCCGTGTGCTTTTTATCGTTCACGAGTATTGGGGCACCCAAATAAGGGTTTTATAACGTCTGACGACGTTGTGCGTTTTCAAGTTCATTAGTGTCGGAGCAAAACAAAACATTCTACTGACTTGACGTTTTGGAAAGTAAGCAAATCGATGCTGTACAAGGGTAAGTCCGAAATGGGGCTGACACGAAATGACGCCCGTCTTTCCATCGTGCAGATTGCTCTTTTGTTGGCCATCGTCTTCACGGTTCACTGTGTAACAGGTGAGACTCATGTTTTTATGTGTATTACGTTTTCACGTGTATTATAATTAACTTGAAGAAAACAATCAAATATTGTTTTAAAGAGGTTGTGGAATGCTCGAAAACATATCCGTCATTTTTGGGGTATATGTAGCCTAAGGTGTGATGAAATAAAACTGACTATTGGTTCTGTCATGAAATAAGTACAAAGGGTACTTTTGAGAGCTATTTTTCAGGTCCTATTTCGACCTGAACGTACAATTTGTGTAAAAGTCGTCGTTGTGGGCAGCAAACAATACACAGTAGATCGTGACGTAATAAATAGGACTCGTTTATGCCACTCTACATCGGGAGTCCTGTTTATTACGTCACGATTTACTGTGTTTTGTTTGCTGCCCGCAACGACGACTTTTACACAAATTGCACGTTCGGGTCGAAACAGGCATGACAGGACTTGAAAAACAGCTCTCAAAAAGTACCTTTTGTACTCATTTTATGACGGAAACAATAGTCGTTTTATTTCATCACACCTTAGGCTACATATACCCAAAAAATGACAGAAATGTTTTCGAGCATTCCACAACCTCTTTAATTGTTTTTTTTTTTACACAGGAGATAACAGCTCTTGTGACTGAAAACTCAATGAAGACACCTAAGACACTAAAGACGCAACTATAGAGACACTTAATGTTCTTAATCCTTTACATTTATTACTTTAATATCATAAATGTTTCTTGTCGGCGAGCTCTTCGAGGAGTTAATGCATTCTTATCCAAACAAATACCGTACAATTTCTCGGTGGAGATCTTGACTGCTCAAACTCGACCTTTACAGATGAAAGTAGCACTACTTTACTGTGCGCTTCACTGGACAAGGCGAAGGTAGTCAAGTGTATCAGGCCAGCCAATCGGTCTCATTTATATGAGGCGGTCTTTCGGGTTCAGTGGTTAAATCATGTTAACCAAAACCTAAAGAGCGTCTCGTCTCATAATTTGAACAAAGGCAATATTTAAACAATCGATCTAATCTATTGTTATTCGTGACAGACATGTAGATCACTCTTCGTTTGATTTCACAGCCATGGCAATTTACACGCAGTTCATGCATCCATGCAATTTACATGCATCCTTACATGATTTACAACACATCTTTGTCCCAGAATTTGTCCCATATCAATCAAACTTTTTACAATGAAGTCAAAAATATATGTCGATCATTGTATATAACACTTACAGTTGTTGTGATTGCAAATGTCCTGATACCGGGCCGAGTGTTTCAATGATGGTCAGATTTCAACCGGTGACTGCTAGTTAGAAGATTTTTTTTCGGCATTGTGATTTTGCCGGGCTGCGATAACTAGCTTTTGTGGCTCATTTCCACAAGAAATAACAGAATCTTTGTTTCTTTCTATAACATGTTCTCAAGTGTCTTCAGGCAATTGATACCAGTCACATTACACTCAAGCTAACACGGACTGTTTTGATGTTATCTGATGAGAAGCTGCTATCGGTCTGACAAACCGACACGATACACGATGGTGGATCCAGGATTTTTTAACTGACTAATCTGACTAACTAACTTAATGACTAAGGCCAAAAAAATATTATATTTGCGTTTCAATAATGATGCATTTGCCACCTTTTTAAGGCAAAAAAGGTCTCCGGTTTCTGGTATGCGCGCGCGTCGCCGTAGCCATGCGCGTCGGCAAAATGAAAAAGTTTTTTTTCAATACAAGATGATGTTTCAAAACCGCCATACTCACTGGTTTGACTGGAATTCTGCTGCTGCACAATTTTAACGTGTTTTTAGATGGGGTTATGATCGAGAATAAGATTTATGTGGCCTCTCTGGACTCCCATATATTTGCACTAAGTTTAGTCGGGCACCATTTGCAGTCATCAGCCGACATTTAAAGCCAAAAAAAAAAAAAAAAACAGGTAAAAAAAAAAAAAAAGCCGCGTCGCCGCACCACTTTTGGGGCAAGCTCCATAACAGAAACCGGAGACTTTTTTTTGTGGCCTAATCGTACATTTTTAATCGAAGTCAGATATGAAAACTTTACATTAATTAGTGAAACTCGTGAGGAATATTGTCCTCAATAACTATTTGTACAGAAAACAAACAAAAAGAAAAGCATATAAAACAGAAAAACACAAACATCAACCAAATGTTGATTCATCATAACTCAGCACTTTCAATTTCAATCCATTTTAAGGTTTGGCGAAGATTTATTTGATTTTTTTGTCAATGTGGAAAGTCTCAAAATATTGCCAGAATGTCCTTTTAGCCTATTCAGAACCTGAAATTCAAACTATGATTCCTATTTTCCATCTTAGCTTAGAAACATCCTTAAAACAAAGCGACAAATCTCTCAATTAAACCATACGTACTCGTACACGTAGACGTCAAATAAACCGCAAACGTAGAAGGTAAACGTAAATAATATAAGTGTACGTACGTGTGGCTACGAGTACGTGCACACACGCTTTAGGCAAAGTGGAGTACTTCCTTTGTTCTCGTGTACTAACATTTTGCAACGTCGCACACTTATGTCAGAATGCTTTTATTATAACCACAGTTAATTTCCTGGGCTGAAATTCGGACTCAATATCCCTTTTCTAAAACTCTCCATTTGCAACAAATCAACCCATCTTGGAAATTCCTTGTTTTTGAGTAAAAGCCATATATCTATTTCGTGAACAACTTGTTGGGTACCAAAACGGTTCCCCTGCAAATCGGTGGGCATTCTTTGTTGGGTACCTCCCATTGTTCCAGTACCCCCATAAGGCAGTGGTTGTACACGCACACTCACGTGTGCACGCACACGTAACAAATCGTAACAACCTCTTCATATATGTGACTAACTGAGGCAAAATGAGGAATGTCCCCAAAAACCTTGTTTTGAGTAAACGACGTATGAAGAAGGATATACTAGAAAAATCATGTCAAAGTCGATATTGATAGTTTTGCATTTTTTAGTAGCCAAGGTATCCAAAATTCAAACCATGCAATTTGGTTGGGAAAAACATTCCCACAAAAGTGTAAAGCTAAAGAACGTTTTCTACTGCCGTTGGCGGCGCAATGCGTGTCTTTTTTTTCAGCCTTTTTTCCTCGACATGGATTTTGCGAGACTTGGCAGGACACTGTTGAAGTTCCTGCGTCACATCTTTGGATGCTACCGAAATAAATTTGGTATCATTGGAAAGCCAATGACTTGCGCTTTGACATTATGAACATAACGTGAAAAGTCTATTGTGGGGGTTATTCCTCATTATGCCTATAGCAGGTCACATAACGTATACATGTATACAGACACTGCGGTCTATTCTCTGAGCTCTGCGTGGAGACGATATCCAGCAGGGGACACATGGACTAAGCTCACCGATTTCAATTCAGGTACCGGATCTCCATCTGGCAGCTTGAACTTGAACTTCTGGATAAGTGAGATGTAGAAAATGAAGAACTCCTTCTGTGCCATCTGCGAACCAAAACACTGCCTTTGTCCTGTATAGGGGAAAATAATCATATTTTTCATGATGGCCTTTTGTATTTTCTTTCCAAAGTGTAATGCACTCTCATTGAAAATCAAACAAATAAAAAAATTAAAAATAAACCAAAGCTATAAAATAACAACAAATTAAATAGTGATCAAATGTTTATGTGAGCTTTGCGGTAACGTAGCACCATGGACATACCGTTTTGGAGCGGTGGTGGTTCTGGAAAGAACCGGAGGTGTAACGAATCGACATTTTGATCAGTATGCTCTTAAGTACTATTACTCCTACGAATTCTCTTTAAGGGCGCTTGTTTTTGCTTTATTTTCCACATGAGGGCGACACACCACATTATGGCGATAATTTGGGGTCGCTCTTTTGTTTTAACTACCATTTGGGAGAAGGAATGTTATCGTCGCTGATAGGTTAGATCGATTGCTTGTTGTCCAATCATTAAATATGCCAAAATTCGTGGGTTAGGATAAGGAATAATGGGGATAGGCTGGGGTCAATAAATTTTGAACAATTTTGTGAACAAGTCTATGGAAGTGTCGCCCTTTTGACAGCATTAAGAGTAAGATTACATTGTTTTTGGTAAACCCCTATACTTTTTCCAGGATAAGTATTCTTGGTATTGTTACATGTACTAACAACCCGATGACCTACAGCTTAATCCCATCCCAAGGACAAACCATTGTGGTAAAGTGTCTTGCTCAAGGACACAAGTGCCATGACTGGGATTCGAACCGACATTCTGCTGCCGACAACGCCAGCTTAAGTCAGCTTTTTCCTAGAGACGACAAAGATTTTCTTTTCATGGGGCTACCACAAACCTCACTAGATTGTATCTTAAATCATACTGATCGAGAGATTGATCTTTTGCAAACAAAACACAATACTTACCAGTTGAGAACGGTATAAGATACTCTGGCTTGACGAGTTGCCCATCTTCACCAAGGAACCTCTCGGGCCTGAAGTTTTCAGGATCGCCCCATAGCTCTGGATCGTTGTGGACGGCATAGATATTAGGGATGAGTGAAGTATCTTTTGGAATCTTGAAGCCAAGGATGTCCACGTCTTCTTGAGTGTCGTGTGGGACTAACAGCCAGAACGGAGTGTCCATGCGAAGGACCTCCAAAATGACCGCTTCGGTGTAAGGCAGCTTGCCTCTGTCATCCAATGTAGGCTCCCGATCACCGATGACGTGCTGGATCTCCTCAAAGACACGCTGCTGCATCTCCTGAAAGACAGAGGTAGCGAGCATCAGGAATTTGAAGATCGACGGGGCAGTGTCAGCTTGATCAGGAAGCAGGTTTATGAACATCCACACGAATTTCTCATCGTCAAGATCACGCAGGTCACCGTTCGGGTCGTTCTTGGCTATTTCGATTAGGAACTCGTCCACCATATCACGGGGGTGGTTTGAATCCAGCGTCGCCCTGTGTTGGTCGATTTGGTCCCGTACAAAGGTAGCTATGGCGTTGGTAACTAGCTTGCCTCTCTTCAAGCTGGAGTGGAGACCAAACCTTTCCAAGAAGGGCAGAAAGGGTTCCAGGTCGTAAAGCGCGAAGATTTCTGCGAACCACGTCATTAAATTGAACAACATCTTTCCAAAGTCTTCATCCCCCTCCTCATAAGCGGTATTGAAGACTATAGAGAGGGTCACATTCAACATGCAGAGAGCGAGAGGTGGGTGCAATTCAAATGGCTGGCCCTTCCTCTTCTTGATCAATTCAACGAGATGATTGGCCTCGCGGAGGACGAAGTCTTGAGACTTGGTAATACCGTAGCCAAAATGACGACTTGTCCGGACCATGAATCTTTTCTCTCTTTTCCACGAGGCTGAATATCTCTCAAAGAACATCCCTGGTAACAGATGAAATGAACACGGATCTAAATATAACCGATGTGAACCGATGATGATTTTTTCCCCATTTTGGGGCCAATGGTGAGTGAATATGGGTTTGCTTTTGCATTTAATTGGGGTCGTTTAACAACAACTGAGTCCACAATTACCGAAGGTACAGAATTCACGATCACGTACAAAACAAAAGAGGGACAACAGGGGGTCCGCGATTGAAGGTGTTTTCACACTTGTTTGTACGTGAGTTTGTTTCTGCGTTCAACAGGGGACGTTGAACAACAAAGAACAATAGGGTCCCCAATTCACGAAGGTCCCCAATTTGGCGATGTGTGCAATACATATGGGAGGTCTTCCTAAAAAGTTAGTACAAACAAAACAGGGACAATAGGGGGTCCCCGATTGCAGGCAAATACACATGAGTGTGTGTAGGTTGATGTGTGGATGTGTGTAAAAGCAATACATTCACTGTGTGGACCTCTAAACAAAGGATGTACACATAAACCTGTTTTCAGATACGTTGTGTGGACTTGCCAACGTCCACAAAAGGTTTCCCCCTCTCTGGTAAACAGGTTAAGTGACATTTTGGGGTTAGGCTTATCCGTCGTAAAATGAAGAGAATCTCTCCAGGAAATCGTAGTAAATAATTTGTCTTGAAAGAGTTTTCACAGTGTGAGTAAAATGAATTTTTTTCAGGGCTTGGTATAATCTTGGAATAATCTAAATTTCACAACCAAATCAGCCACCAGCTTTGTCATTTGTAAAGTTTTGTCTGGCCTAATATTTTTCTTCCAGATCCGTACAGTATTTTAAGCGCCCAGTGAAAGTCTATATTAATAATCGGTGAAGGTGTCTGCCTGGCTTTTATTTTTCATTGGCAATTCTGCTTGAATTTCTTTCTATCAGGTTTATCGGATCGCTGTGTCGTTCTTGAGTTTAAGTTTACTTTGGGTGTACCCTTGTAAATCTGTCTTTATAATTGAACAGGGTGAGTAAAAAAAAACGAAACCCAAATGTCAGGACCATTTTTAAGTGAAGTTCTGCATGTAGCACTTTTAAAATCTAGAATATGAAAGCCCCATTCATAAGCTTTTTTTTAGTACAAGAATTATTCAAATCACTTACGTACTTTTAAAGTTACGGAAATATTAAACACGACCACCGTTTTAACAAAAAGTAAACAATTCAGATAGGGATGAATGTATATTTTTTTTCGTTTTGCTAAAAGAACACTCACCTTTTTTGTGATCCGTGGACAAAACCTTAAAATGGTGTTTGCGTTTAAAATTCCGTAACCTGAAAAGTACACAAGTGATTTGAATGATTTTTGTACTAAAAAAGGGCTTATGAATTGGGCTTTCATATCCTAGATTTTGAAAGTGCTACTAGCAGAATTGCGTATTTTTTACTCACCCTGTAATTTTTAATGAGTACTCACCGAGGTTTGTGTGTTTCTCTTTGACATATTTAAATGCCCAGTTCTCTGGACGACCTGAAGTATAGGCTGACTGTCTGATTAGAGCATCTTTAATGGCCTTGAAGCTATTCAGTATCACTATGCGTCTGAAACGGAACCACACAATAATATGATGTATAGCAAAGTAGCTGTGCTGAATTAACAACTTTTTAAACTCAAATACATACAGGTGTGCCTAATGGGCATTTTGGCCTACGATGAAAAGTGTGGTTCTGTGAAAAAACTGGAGGAGGTGTACCTAGCCTTAGCCCCTAATGTGATAGCATTTGCAACAACACAGATATCTTTCCTAATACATGAAGGCCTATCTTGTTTGACATGTCGCAAATCCCATCACGTACATCTTTGCAAATAACTAGTGCTGTATTCAAATTTTTCATCAACACCGGTAGAACTACACGCTAATGTCGAGTCGTCGACATACAGGGAAATATTACACTCTCCTATAGGATACAAAGCGGTAGGTCACTTGCATAAATAATTAATAACAGTGTATCTAAAATTGATCCCTGTGGTACGCTGGTGTTAATTGGTAGGGCTTTTGATATGTTGCCCTCAATGTTCACAGATTGACTACGTTCACTTAGGACCAGTTGATAACAGAGGTTGACGTATTAAGCCTTTCAAGTTTATATAGGAGAGTGTCATAAATAACAGAGGCAATTGCTTTACTTAAATCTATAAAAACAGTGCCTGTTATTTCCCTGCGCTCCCTAGCCTGATATAATTTGTTCGTTAAATCATGTAAAGTAGTTTCAGTTCAGCGTGATGGCCTAAACCCTGAGTGACAGCAAGGAATCAGATTCATCAAGGTATTAATGGACTGCAGAGTGTATCCATCTTTCTCGAATCTTACAGATAATCGGCAGTATTGAGATAGGCCGATAGTTAGTTGTATTACACTTGTCTCCACCCTTGTGAATAGCCGTAACCAAGGCGTGTTTCCACTCAGTAGGGTATTGTTCGAATCTTATCGAGAAGTCAAATCGTAGGACTTAAAAAAAAATTGCAAAAAAAGGAGAAAATTTGATCCCCCCCCCCCTTGGTTGCGACACTGTAAGTACCATTATCAATATCATAATAAAGTCGCAAGTTACAATAATTTCTTTACATTCACATTACATTCTATAATACCACTTAGTTTTTCTATGAACTCAACAGAACTTGAAGGTGGCCTGTAAATAGAACTTATAACCACAGGCTGCCTTTGCTTACATTGGAGTTCAACCCATAAACATTCTACATTATCTGTTTCTAGGTCATCACGGTGGATGAAAGTTATTTCATTTCGGATATACATGGCCACCCCACCCCGTGACGGTTTCTATCTCTTCTGACAATGGAGTATTTGGGGAGGTTAATCTCTTCGTCAGAGATTGCATGGTTCTCGCAAGAATAACACAAAAACGGCCAGATTTTAAAGGATGGTTGCGTGGACGTTTATATTCCACTTTTAAATGCTCTTTCCATTTTAATATCATTTTGTTTAAACCGCGTTTTGTGGCCCAATTCGGCGTATTCAAGGCCGTAATGCCATTTTAATCATTAAACAGTTTTGGCCCGGCCGGTTCTTCTCGACATGTGTTTATGGGCGCGCTCGGCATACAAAGCGCAAGCATTGTAGTCGAGTCACCAACATCGAGTCGAGTCCGAGTCTCGAGTCACAAACCTCGAGTCCGAGTCCGAGTCACGAGTCACTTGTCTTTAGTTGTTCACGTGACACTCTTTGGTACGGTACACTTGTTGGCATGACACCGGGTCCTGGTGCTCGTCGTGAAGACGCTACAATCCCGGCCAAAATGGTTGGGACACTTGGAAATAACCTTAGCCTCCAACGGTCACCAACTGCATGGTTAGTCAATTTTAGGCTTGGGTTAATTTCTTACTTTTCAACGACTCGATTGCTAGATCGACGACGTATGAACTTGGTGGCTTTTATAATTGTTCGAAAAGTACGAAGAGGGATAGCGCGTTTGTCCTTTGCGAATAGCACACTGCAAACACACCCAACTACATGGCGGGCTTTACCTTCGAATTGGTAATCTTTACACAAGGGGTGACAACTTTCATTGCAACTTTGTAAAGTTTACCATTGGAAAAGTAAAACATCGGACGTGTTTACGCAACTCGTGTAAATATACATATTTACATTTTTATATATTTTTTTTCAATCTAAATTCTTTTGGTCAATTTTTATTTAAACTGTGTATTTGCTTACACAACTTTTTTACCTATTATTTTTTTACTATTTATTCAGTGTGTGCAAAGAACCAGCCATCAGGCTGCGAAGGTTGATTGTGATTTGTCAACGTTGGAGGCGTGAGCTCGAAATCTTGATTCTGATTGGCCAACATCATAATTTCTGCATATTTTGATATCAAATGCCCTGGGTTAGGTCCGTATCCATCCAATGAAACAGTTTTTTTTTACCTGAAGTTTCTGCCAGAGGGTGCTATATAGTATATTCCCATTTTGGGGGGCAAAATCACAGGCGTGTAGTAGGTTAAGTGTGTGAAGGATCGAAGTCGGCTAAACTCTGAAAGTTTCAAAAGAGAAGTAGGGCACACACTATTTAATCATACAGAATTATCATTGTGCAGTGTGGTAAACACTTTAACTAGATCATGCTATCTTTGAACCATTGTCTGTGCTATGAGTCACTGTGGCGTGATCTGTCTCTTGTTGGGTAGGGCCTAGGTGGGGAATTGTGTTACCTGTTTGCATCAGAAGATATTTACTTCTTACGTTTCGTCTTAGTGTACTCACTGGACTATCAAAGACTTGCATAGAGACAACAAGGAACCTTTTAAAGATAAGATATTTGGATGCGTTCACAGGTTGATCGTTATTGATGAAACGTTGAATAATATAAATAATGTAATATATGAAATATAGGAGGGGCCGTTCAACAGTTATGGGAAGTTAATGTTGTATGTTTGTATTTTCCCAATGGAAGCAATTTCAAATAAACTATTGCTGAACGCAATGCTTTTTAATAAAGTGTGACGTATTTTTTCGTAAGTACAAGTAAAAAAAAAAATCACAAAACATTTAAGGTAAAATAGTTACCTTTAAGTTGCTTAAGTTTTTTTTCAGTTGAAAACGGGTAACCATCGAAAAACTATTACATGACGGTCAGTTACGGGTACCTAGAAAATGACGGTGACCGTAATTCCTACATACAACCCCGGCCAAAATGGTTGGGACACTTGGAAATAACCTTAGCCTCCAACGGTCACCAACTCCCCCGCTCCCCCGGTCAATGTTGTTCTCTCCAGCGGATGGAACACACACCGCGCAATGAGAGACATCATTGAGCGGGGGTTGGGGGGTTGGGGCCCAGCGAGATTTGGTCTGGATTGCAGGCGTGTGTGCGCGGCCCCTGGGTACGATTTTCTGCGGCGCTTCGTTTTGTCTATGGAGTAAAACGAATGCTACGTCCGTCGCACAAACACGTAAAGTTATGTTTTTCGTTTGATAAAAATACGTTACTCGAGTCACGAGTCACCAAGCCGAGTCATCGTGGACGAGTCTGAGTCCGATTCCGAGTCATTTTCAAATGTGACTCAAGTCGAGTCCGAGTCACGAAAAATGTGACTCGAGTCCGACTCGAGTCCAAGTCCTGGACTCGAGTCCTACAACACTGCAAAGCGCTAGTTACAGCCATTTTCGATAGGGAAAACTTGTGAAGTAGGGCAATATGTGTCATAATACTATTGTGAATTTCTAGCAATCACGATTTGTGAAAGAAACGTACTTAATTAGGTGAAAGTGGTTAAAATTGCAAGCGATGATTATTAAAAAACAGAACAGATTTTATATGTAAGGCCTAGGAACTACTGTATACCACGTTAATACATGTATTTAGATTACAATTTTGAACTGTTCCACTTAAAAATCACCGAAAATGTCTTTTAATATATAATTGTCCAGTTTAATGAAACGAGTGGCGGCTAGAACAGACTTTAATCTGAAATATGGACCTCGTAAAAAAATTCAAATTGACCAAAACCAGTCCCGGATGTTGAGATGCACGCGAGACTTGCACAAGTCTACTGGTCCCCAGCTTCGCGTATAGTCTGATTCCCAGACCAAAAGTTTCTGACTATTCCTGATGAATTTTTAGATCAGGTAGCCGTCAGTAATACATTATATTACACATATACGTCACGTGACTAAAACGGGAGGAATTCCTCCTTTTTCCGAAAATGTACGAAGCTTGCCAGATTCATTTCGCCAATGTATTTCCGATGGGAACAAGACTACTTCGCGCATCTGTCCTATTTTGGCTATCGTAATCCGAAACGACTTCGGCTATGCTGGGCATGAGATGACGTCAGCAATTTCACTTAGCGAAGAGTTAGTCTGGCAAGCAAACAAACCTGGGGTTTTTTCCCATGCGTGTCTACACGTACGGAGGGTCACAGACGGTGACCCGCGTCCAGACTACTGGCATATGAAACAATAGACCCCCGGGCTCATGATTAAAGGGACTTTACATCCTGAAATGCGCCCCAATTGGGCTGCAAAACGCGTTTTAAACGAAATAATGTGAAATAGAAAGACCATTTCTCGCTTTTGACTTTTTGACATTTGACAACTTGTACAGAAATCGAGCCGGCAGCACAAAACCGATTTTTCACCTCAGAGCTAAGCTTGCGGGCCGAGGCTTTCAAAACAAAATGAGCCGTATCATGAATGCTGTCCTCTATCATGTCTATGATTGTCTTCTAGTGACCAACTGATTTACAATGAGGAATGGCAAGTTTATCTGTTTTGTTTTAACATTATATGTTTTGTGATTAACATTATATCTGATGCCCCTTTTAACCCATGGCGGTGGATTGAACAGCAGAGGTGTTTATTTCAGTATGATGAGACAAGTAAATCCATATAAAATAATTGTACATATTAAATAATTGCATATTTCCTGGCCTTAGTCAGGGCATGAAGAAGTGAAAACTTTCCCCTTTTCCATTAGGTAGACATTTCCCGTACACAAATTAATGTTGTACTTACTTGCCAGCAAACAAAGGCACGGTGAACAAATCCGGGTGGTACCGTTTTCCCATTCGGGTGATATTCGCAGGAGTTTGTTTGGAGCTGATGCTGATCAACCGACTACAGCCGATGAGAGGCCATCCCCATGGCCCGGGTGGCCAGTTGTATTTCCTGTTGTAGGCGACTCGTCGGTACACCAACGCCGTCAAGACGAACGCGACGAGTGTCACGACGGTACCTAGGCCAACAGACAAGTCCAAGTTTGCCAACATATTCACGATGAACGCCATTTTTTAGTATTGTACTAACTCACCTAATATCTCGATTCCAAAGTTTGAGTTCGTACGTGGTTTGTTTCGTCTGCACTAGAGTCGATGTATACAATTCAATACAAGTTATGGTAGTAGACCCGGCGCTAGGCTGCGGGTTGGGTTTTTACTGTCTCCTGATTGGCCACCTCTATGGTAACCATAATGTATGCAAATTAACCCATTAAAGAGAATATTGCCGGGAAGAATGTGATCATGTGACGATGGAAACGTGGCAAAGTCTGTTTGAGAAAACCAATGCTGCTGGGAAGGTATTCTTGCGCTGGCCGGAACATCATACATCGAGACTCGTGAATTATGCCAGAGATAAGCCTTTAAAAGAACACCCGCTATTTTCGGGTTTAGACCTTTGATCTTTGCCTGTCGCAAAGCGCTGTGTGTGTGCGCATGGGGGAAGAAAATGTTGAGGGAGGGTGCGTGTTTATGTGTACATCAGTACATCATCAGTATTGCAGGCCTCTTTTGCCACGAGATACAGTGACTACTCAAAATAAAGTTGCACCCAGATTGAGACGTGGATATCGTCTTTCAAAGCCCAACAAATGTGACAAAGAAATGTAAGGACATTTTATATTGAAGTTTGATTTCATTTCTCTGTTTGTTTTTGTATAGTTTTCTTGATTTGTAACCAGAAAGCCACATAAGGAAAATAATGTTGTTTCAACTTTTTCATGCCAGATAATCTGGAGGCGGTCAGTGCACGAAAGTATTCTCTCAGAACTTGTTCATTTTGAAATGAATCAGATTAGAAATTCGGTAAATAATTTTAAATTTCAGCGCCCCCTACTGAACTACCTCAAAACATATTTCCTAACAAAAATAACTCATTAATATAATAAAAACAATTTACCCATTTAAGGAGGGGGGAGGGTTAGACTATTATGGCCATGTGCAGTGACAGTAAACTGCGTTTTCTCGTACCCCCGCCCTGCAAACAGGGTGCTGGGAAGGGCTAATAAGCTTCACAGAATCTTGTGAAGGAAGTGGGGATGGCATTCTGTGTAATTAATCATTACCTATGTATAAAGCAATTGGCTGCAGCTGTTTAAGACCGCGGTTAGCCAATGCGCGCAAATGCTATCCGAAACTTTTCTCATAGAAATGCACACACACCATAACGGATGTCAATTCTTTTTCATTGCGGACCATGTGGACAAATTTTGAGCGTGAAATACTAAGCATATCGACCCTTCGTGAATTCGAAACAGAGCCTGAGTAACTGACGGGAGTTGAAAATTTACAAAACAGATAAGTAGTTTTCCAGATTTTCCTACATTATTACGCTTTTTAACGAATAAAAGGACATTCATGAATAAGAATAAAAGAGTGATTCAAAACCTCATAAGGTCGTGGTTGTGATTTCTTGTCGGTCACAGGTCACGCAAAATCTATCCAATCAGAGCGTGAATTCATCAGCCCTTCCCAGCGTTCTGTTTGCAGGCCGGCGGAGGGGGTATACGGGCGAATAAACTGCGTTGCATTGTGGGACACATGTATAATACAAAATCTTCATGCGTCAGCACAACGCACGGCAACCAAAACCTTCATTGCACACCTTGTTAATCAGTGAAAGGGTCAATAATATTTTGATATCGTGTTTATCACTTGTATTCAGACCTCTTTAAAATTATGTTTCATGTTCCAGCTATGAACTGATGCTACAATGCTGGCAGGAGGATACGCCCTACCTTCAAGCAACTCTCTACCGCCCTGAAAGAAAGGGTAGACAGGCACACTAACAGCGTAGGTGTCTTCGCCCTTAAATAATGATTCCTTTGACAGTAACAAATACATGAAAGTAATTTGTCGTAAAGAAAAGAATCTGAAATTATTTTGCCATGCAACTGTATAGTGTGCAAGAGTTTATCCCGCCAAATCGTACTTTCGCGTAAAGACAAAAAAAGACACCGCGTAAACTTTAAACTTCTCCTTTATTGCCACAGAAATAAGGTGAAAATATGAATAATTAAATGCTTGTATTTGTTTTCGTTACAGACTAACATGAGATTGATGACCTCAGACGCTTGAGACGGATTGCAAGAATACTTTCACATTCACGTATCGTTAAGACGCTTGTGGTAGCTGCAAAATTGACAAACATCATGTGATCTATAACTAAAACAATTGGCATTTTGTTTTGCGTTCGTAAATAATGAACAGGTACAGCAATAAGAGTTGGTACAGAGCTAGTACATGTAATACGAAATAAAACTAAGATTATTTGGTCTTACAAAATGATATTATTCTACCACATATTTGTTAATTAATTGGGTTTTATATTTGCGTTTCAATAATGATACATTATTTTGACACCTTTTTAAGCCCAAACAAAAAAGATCCGGTTACTGGTATGCGCGCGCGTCGCCGTAGCCATGCGCGTTGGCATAATGAAAAAGCATTTTTTTTTCAATGTAAGATGATGTCTAAAAACTGCCAAACTCACTGGTTTGACTGGAATCCTGCTGCTGCACAATTGTAACGCGTTTTTAGATGGGGATACGATCGAGTATACTCTTTACGTGGCCTATCTGGACACCCATATATTTTGCACTAAATGTAGCCGGGCACCATTTGCAGTCTTTAGCCGACATATTTTGAAGAAGAAAAAAAAAAGTCGCGTCGCCGCACCACTTTTGGGCAAGCTCCATACCAGAAACAGGAGACTTTTTTGGGCCTAAGAGACGGATTGAGAGAAATCCACAGCCCTGGGCCTTCATGTTAAAAAGTGTTTTTATTTAAATTTGTACGAAGGGCAACAATTCTATCAATATTACTAATTCCACAATTCCTCCATGCTCAAATCCTCGGAGGATGGGTAGATGGGGGTTTATCCTCCACATTTTTAGCCAGGATGATTGGCCATTGAATCTCCGCCGCCCCCCCCCCCCCTCGATTTTTTGTGCTGGGCCAAAAAAAAAACACCTTTTATTAAACCAAAAACGTTTTTGGGTAGTGTTTTAAGGATTTTTGATATTTTGGATATATTATTTTGGTGGTAAATTGCAATCCGCTGAAGCGTTAATTTCAGCAAATTCATTAAATCACATTGATGGCAAGGTTATTGAAAAAGAAAAATATAACGCATTTTAGTCAGTTTCTGAACTTCCTGTGTATATTTTATATAGAGATTGCTTGGGAGATTTAACGCCAGGTAGATACTAATGTGGGTTTTGCCCAAATATCGGCTAACCCAATTTGGCAAAATGGCGCGCTCACATTGTGAGAACGCCAAACTCAAATGTATGCAAGCTTATAATTAGGTTACATGAAAAATATAATGGACAAATACGCGTGTTTTAATCCACCAATCGCGGTGCTTCAACTCGACTTCCCTATACTGATTGATTTGTGCAAATGACTGAGTCGAGCATAGAGTCGAATCCTCATTCAAGCCAGTGTGCATTTCGAAAACAGACCGTGTGTATTTTATCGGCGCCCAAAGAAGACTTTTACAACTTCTGACGACGTCGTTCGTTGTCCGATCCGTGTGAAGGGACGCAGTTTAGTTCAGTGTCGGAGTCCAAAATGGGGCTGATACGAAATAACGGCTGTCATTCCGTTGTGCTGATTGCTCTTTTGTTGGCCATCACCATCGTGTTGAAAGTTAACTGTGTAACAGGTAAGATTCACGTTTCCATACGTATTATAAATGTATTATCTACTTCTATTAAAAAGAAATAATAAAACTTCATTAAAAAGATGTCCAGGGTTTGCTTTGACGAAATAGTGGACAACGGTTTATTTTTCGACAAAGGAGTTAACAGCTCTTGTGACAGAAGACGGAATGTCGGGGGAGGTGACATCGAAATAAGGATGGGAATGTTGGTTGGGTAGGGCATTAACAGACTGTATGGCAACCTAGTTAAGACTTGGAACAAATCTCTCTTTTGTTTCGTGTGATATTTGTGATTATATAAAATCCATACTGACTGTTTTAATTGGTCTCCAGTAAATGAACATCTCGGGCCTTTGAATTACCCCTAGGAGGACCATCTTGTGTTCTGTCATAATCCCTCCGTGTGCATAGCATTTAATATGTGTATGATATACCCCTCCGAGTAGAACCTTGCCCTCAACTCCTTCAAATACTATTCCCTTCCGGCCCGACCCAAATCCATACTATGCCCCCCATGTGATATCAAACTTGTCCCTGTTTTCTTCTTACCAACTTGCAACCCTCGTCATAATGATTGTGGCGTTTTGGGGGTTTATTTGACTAGTAATGCGCCTATCAATTGTTTCCAACACTGTCCCCTCCCTTGGGCTGCCCCACCAAAGACTTGGGGGTTGACAACCCCCCCCCCCCCCCCGGCGCCCCCACTTAAGACGTGGGGATTGTCAGTTTTGAAAGGGGAAGGGGTGGAGGAAATATTCGATAGTCGCATAAAATGTATACTATGCTCGTATTGTTCTATTAATGTAAAGTTAAAGGTTGACCTACGTTTACCAACTTCCTCATTGTTTAATTTCTAGGTTCATCCCCCCCCATGTAAAACAACAAATGCAACTCACACCTTAATTCTGAAATAAGTCACATATTGGAGAGCTTAGTTACATCCTACACACAGTGTTCAAATAAACTTGTTGGCCAAAACTAGGGGGGCACTAAACCAACCAACGCAGCTTTACACGACGTTTTGGAAATATATTGTCAAGGAAATAAAAACTGACGATATGTGAAATGCAAATTGAAACTTTGATGAAAAAAAACCATTATGGTACTTGATGATTATCAGTGTGTTACATTTTCCTGGTGTCTGAACTTTTGTTATGTGAACACATGAAAAGCCATCTACGAGACTGAAGCAGGTTACAAGTTTCAGTTCCTCAAAGTTCAATTGGTTTGTAAACTTTAACTTTGGAATTATTTATCTAATGTGGATGAAACTAAATGAAATACAGATAATCAGTAAACAGGAAGAAAAAAGGAAGGAGATTGTCAGACGCATACTTCAACACCTGTTTAGGAAGCTTAAAGTATACTTCACATGCTTTCTATATTTGTTTAAAGCTTAGGGCCTACATCAGTTTGTTTGAGGTTGTTACCGTATATCCATTTCGATGAGGCAGCCCTTAGGTTCAAAACACCCCTCCCCTTGGACAAAAAAAGACAAGTTCCACCGTCGGGTTTTTTTTTTATGCGTCACGCGCACACAATTTGT